ACACAGACATCACGGCACACACATACAGACATCACATCACACACACACAGACATCACGGCACACACACAGACATCACGGCACACACACATAGACATCACGACATACACACAGACATCACAGCACACACACAGATATCACAGCACATACACAGACATCACGACACACACACACAGACATCACAGCACACACACAGACATCACAGCACACACACACAGACATCACATCACACACACACAGACATCACAAAACACACACACAGACATCACAGCACACAGACATCACGACACACACACAGACATCACGGCACACACACACAGACATCACGGCACACACACAGACATCACAGCACACACACACAGACATCACAGCAAACACACACAGACATCACAGCACAGACATCACGGCACACACACACAGACATCACAGCACACACACACACAGACATCACAGCACACACACACACAGACATCACGGCACACACACACAGACATCACAGCACACACACACAGACATCACAGCACACACACACAGACATCACAGCACACACACACAGACATCACAGCACACACACAGACATCACGGCACACACACACAGACATCACGGCACACACACACAGACATCACGACACACACACACAGACATCACAGCACACACACACACAGACATCGCGACACACACACACAGACATCACGGCACACACACACAGACATCACAGCACACACACACAGACATCACGACACAAACACACAGACATCACAGCACACACACAGACATCACAGCACACACACAGACATCACAGCACACACACACAGACATCACAGCACACACACTCAGACATCACAACACACACACAGACATCACAGCACACACACATAGACATCACAGCACACACACACAGACATCACAGTACACACACACAGACATCACGACACACACACAGACATCACAGCACACACACACAGACATCACAGCACACACACACAGACATCACAGCACACACACAAGACATCACAGCACACACACAGACATCACGACACACACACAGATATCACAGCACACACACATAGACATCACGGCACACACACACAGACATCACGGCACACACACACAGACATCACAGCACATACACACAGACATCACAGCACACACACAGACATCATGGCACACACACAGACATCACAGCACACACACACAGACATCACAGCACACACACAGACATCACGACACACACACAGACATCACGACACACACACACACAGACATCACAGCACACACACACAGACATCACAGCACACACACACAGACATCACGACACACACAGGCATCACGACACACACACACAGACATCACGACACACACACACAGACATCACGGCACACACACACACAGACATCACAGCACACACACAGAGACATCACGACACACACAGACATCGCAGCACACACACACAGACATCACGGCACACACACACAGACATCACAGCACACACACACAGACATCACGGCACACACACACAGACATCACGGCACACACACACAGACATCACAGCACACACACACACAGACATCACGGCACACACACACAGACATCACGACACACACAGACATCACGACACACACACAGACATCACAGCACACACACATAGACATCACGGCACACACACACAGACATCACGGCACACACAGCACACACACATAGACATCACGGCACACACACACAGACATCACGGCACACACACACAGACATCACAGCACACACACACACAGACATCACAGCACACACACAGACATCACGGCACACACACACAGACATCACGGCACACACACACAGACATCACAGCACACACACACACAGACATCACGGCACACACACACAGACATCACGACACACACAGACATCACGACACACACACAGACATCACAGCACACACACATAGACATCACGGCACACACACACAGACATCACGGCACACACACAGACATCACGGCACACACACACAGACATCACAGCACACACACAGACATCACGGCACACACACACAGACGTTGTTGTGAAGCTTCCTTCCCGTGGGAGGGCGTCGACGAGGTGCCATGCCCTGGCTCGCCCTCAAGAAGGCAGAGGAGCAAGTGGACTCATCGCCATCTGTTTCCATCTGTCCGGCGACAGAGCGTTGCTCCCTCGCGCAAGGCGTGGGGGGTTTTCTACAGGTGCGCCGACTTGCTTCCCACTTGTAATTATAAACACAACTCTGCACTAATTGGCGGGAAACTTCTGAATACAATTAAAATACAACGTAGCAGCAGGAGCCTCCTGAAAATTTGTTATAAGGCTCAACGTGGCTATTCTGTACAGATAAATGAGTAAGTAGATGTTAAATAAATCTGTGTTCGCTTCTTGCAGAGTGACCAAATACTCCTCGGATTCCTAGTGCCCAGTTCGGTCCCCTGTAGCAGGCGCCGCGTAGTCACAGCCTCGTGTGCCGTGCCGGGCTCAATAGGTGCTCGCTAACATCACTTGCCGCAACAGTTACACGGGGGATCTTTGTCTTCGTGTGTGCCCGCTGGAACCAGGGAGAGCGGTGGTGGAGCGGTTAGCGCGCTGCGCTACCAACCTGGCAAACCCGAGTTCGATTTCCGCTCACGGTCAACACCTGTGAAGCGGTCCAGGGCCTCCCCTAGGTTGACTCAGCCTCAAATGAGTACCTGGTGCGGTGTGTAAACATCGCCACAGGGGAGACAAAGGCGGTCGGGCGTGGTGCAGGCCACCCACCCCCTCGTTTGCCGTGCCGGCCTTCAAAGATGCTCGCTAACAGCACTTGCCCCAACAGTTCGTTAAGGCTATACGGGGGATCTTTGTTTGTGTGTGTTTATGCAATTGTGCCTGGACCTGCATATATGTGGGTTTACATTCGTGTGTGTATATGCGTGTTTGTATATACGTGTGTGTGTGGGGGAGATAGCGTTGGTGTTAGGGATATGGTTAGATGTATGAATAGGGTTAGAGGAATCTATGGTGGTTCTTGAGGTAAGGGGCTAGAATTGATTGAATATTCGTTTTTCAGAGCAGGAGATTTGCGTCGCAGCCATTGACTCCGTGGCCCAAATCAAATACGAACTAGAACACCCGACGTGGATATACAGCGCCTGATACATCACATTCACTACATCGCGTCCCAACACTGCCTCACGTACAACACTACGTCTTGTAACAATACACAGCACGTGACTCAAAGACAATTATGCCCCGTATAGCCTGTAACAGACTGTTGGGGCAAGTGCTGTGTGCGAGCACCTATGAAGGCCGGAACGGTACACGAGGGGGGGGGGTGGCCTGCACCACGCCCGGCCGCCTTTGTCTCCCCAGTGGCGATGTTTGCACACCGCACCAGGTACTCATTTGAGGCTGAGTCTACCTAGGGGAGGAGGTCCAGGACCAGTTCAAATGATCGTCACCGGTGTTGGCCGTGAGCTGGAATCGAACCCAGGCCGCCGGATTCGTAGCGCAGCGCGCTGACCGCTACACCACCACTCCCCACATCACACATTACACCACGTCAGACGTAATACAATGTAATATACTACACAAAGATGATATTGTACAACTATTCGTGCACTGCTGGATGAAGGCCGCTCCACATCGCGTGCAATGATAGACATCGGAGTGAAGAATACAACGTCTCACGTACAGCAGTGATGGGTATAGCCCACGGCTCATTTGATCTTTAGTCACGCCGGGGGAGTTGAAGGTCAAGATCGGTTCAGATATCACTCGCCACTGACGTTAGCCGTGGCCGGGAATCAAACCCAGACCGCGGGGGTTCTCAGGCGCAATGCGAGAAGCGCAGCGCCACCACTCCATCCGGTCGTGACACATAGCCCACAGAAGCCAAGAAGAATAATTACAATGATTGTTATAATACATCACAGATATCATAACAACGTGCACAACATCACATACACAGTACGTAGCACAGCGTGCAATACGTGTTGTACTATGCGTGTTGTATGATATGTTGTATAATGTGCTATACATGTGGTTATTCTATGTTATATTATTGTACTATGCGTGGTATTGTATGATATGTTGTATAATGTGCTATACATGTGGTTATTCTATGTTATATTATTGTAGTATGCGTGTTGTATGATATGTTGTATAATGTGTTATATATGTAGTTATTCTATGTTATATTATTGTAGTATGCGTGTTGTATGATGTGTTGTATAATGTGTTATACATGTGGTTATTCTATGTTATATTGTTGTAGTATGCGTGTTGTATTGTATGATATGTTGTATAATGTGTTATACATGTGGTTATTCTATATTATATTGTTGTAGCATGCGTGTTGTATTGTATGCTGCTATGGACAAACACGCGTGCGGCCACTGCTCTCGGCTCGCTGTCACAGCCGGAGCGGCTTGCTTGGCCACGAAGACTCCCGCATCACTAGAAAGACCTGAACTTTAAAAACATTACATAAAATCCGAATGAAACAAAGGACAACATAAACAAACGCCAACGTCCAAATCAGATGAGAGCAGTCTTCATGTGCACACGCCGTGATATGCTGTGGTATAGATGCATGGGGTGCAATGCACGGCATGTATAATGCGGACCGGGTGCATCACGTGGAATGTTCACGTCACAGGTGAGGGCGGCGCAGCCACGCGGCGTGTTCAGGCCGAATGGATGAGACCACGCGGAGAGTTCCAGGAGCCAGAGGTCTGGCGCAGTGACGGTCACTGAGCGTCGGTGGACACGCGCACGCTACGACGACTAAGATCCCCCGTGTAGCCTTAACGAGTAACCTATTAAGGCCGGCACTGCACACGAGAGGGTGGGTGGCCAACACCACACCCGGCCGTCTTTGTCTCCCTAGTAGCGATGTTTGCACACCACTCCAAGCTACTCATTTGAGGCTGAGTCGACATAGGAGAGGGCCCAGAACCGGTTCAGATAATCACCGCTGGTGTTGGCCGTGAGCTTGAATGGAACCCGGGTGGCCAGATTTGTAGCGCAGTGCGCTCACCGCTACACTACCGCTCCCCAAAGACACACATAGACACACACACACATCGGATCAGAGAGCGAGCGAGTGAGTGAGAGAGCGACGCACGCGTTAAAATAATAGTTTTATATTTCATGAAGAGGAAATGTTCACACTCGGCCGACTCGTACACGACGAGGGGACAAACCGAAGTAAAGTGCGCAACATTCGTGGTTCGCAAACGTCGCAAAGCGCCATGGGGGGTTTCCACGCGGCGTCACCTCTGAAGGGGAGCCGCCGTCCGCGTCTCTGCGAGTAAAAAAAAAAACCTGCAAAGGAAAGGAACGAAAAAGAAGCCAACGGCGGCCCGGGCGGCTCTCGCTGGGGTTGTCTCTGCGAACGCGCACTACGTCCCTCCCGTGGTGTCCTCGAGCCGTGCGCTCGCCTGGACATCAACAGGCCCCCCCTCTCCCCTCACCTCCCCCACCGCGGTCCTCCTATAGCCCGCCAAGGCCCGAGAAACTTCGCTTTACTGACGCTTGTTCTGTTGGAGCTGAGCGTGCGGTTTAGTTTAACGACTCCACCGCCACCACTGGAGACCATCGGACGTGATACTTAGAGTGAGACGAGGGGCTTCCGCGGATTTCTGATGGGAGTCAGGGGCTTCCGCGGATTTCTGATGGGAGTCAGGGGTTTCCGCGGATTTCTGATGAGAGTCAGGGGCTTCCGCGGATTTCTGATGGGAGTCAGGGGTTTCCACGGATTTCTGATGGGAGTCAGGGGCTACCGCGGATTTCTGATGGGAGTCAGGGGCTTCCGCGGATTTCTGATGGGAGTCAGGTGCTTCCGCGGATTTCTGATGGGAGTCAGGTGCTTCCGCGGATTTCTGATGGGAGTCAGGGGCTTCCACGGATTTTTGATGGGAGTCAGGGGCTACCGCGGATTTCTGATGGGAGTCAGGGGCTTCCGCGGATTTCTGATGGGAGTCAGGGGCTTCCGCGGATTTCTGATGGGAGTCCGAGTCGGGAGCGAGTTCAGGCGCGCGCCCCACGGCGAATCACCAGCACCACCAGCACCACCAACATCACCACCATCATCACCATCACCACCATCACCGCTGTTAGTGTCATCATTATCATGGAGCCCGTGACTGTCCGGGACCACGGCTATTTATTGCTTGCAATTATATAATCCATCTGTTGTTTAAAAACTGTACACCTTTGTTCGGAATAGGACACCCTCCCACCGATCCACGCACGTGTTATGTATTCGTATAGCATCTCATATAATCTATTTTTTTTCTCATATAGAACTAGTTGCATGTTTTTGTGTGTAATTATCCCCCCCACTTCCCCACACGCGTTTCAGGCCGCACACCTTCAAATGTAAAAGACGACGACTGGACGACAACGGAACACACGGAACGAGTTAACACCGACGACGACGACGAGGAGGCACCGACCCCGGGAACGACTCTCGAGACAAAGAGGAAGGGGGGGGGGCACACACGCACATCGACATTCGCTTCGGACGCGTCCGGCGTCGGGACCCCCGCGGAGGAGGAGGCGGCGCGGAGTGAGTGGCGCATGCGGTGGGAGTGGTGGTGTCGTGGGGGAGCGTCGCTCAAAACATAATTTTCCATGGAAACGCGATGAAGAAGAGACGTGAACGAGCGTGGGACACGAGCAGACAGCCCCCCCCCCCCCGTGTGCCCCGCGCAACGCGAGATCCTTCAGGGCTCTCTCTGTCTCTCACACTCCTCCTCACTAGCTCACAGCTCACTCTCTCTCTCCCTCTCTCATCCCTCTCACTCATCACTTGCTCCCTCTCTTCCTATCCCTCTCATCCCTCACACTCCTCCTCACTTGCTCACTCTCTCCCTCTCTCATCCCTCACACTCCTCCTCACTTGCTCCCTCTCTTCTTCTCCCTCTCATCCCTCACACTCCTCCTCACTAGCTCGCTGTCTCTCTCACTCGCTTACTCGGCAACTCACAATCTGCCTGGCGCGCTCTCTCTCACCCCCCCCCCCCCCACGCTTCTCGATCCCTCGCACGGCGCCGGGCATCCCGGAGCGCGGCGCGTCCCCAGGCGCGCGTGCCCCGGCCAGGACGGGCACGCGCGGGGCCTCACGAACCCAGCCGCCGTCTCCCCGTGGAGCACACAGCACGAGCTTGTAACCCCCCCGTGAGTTCTACAATCAACGTCTTTACCAACGCGCCTCCTCGTCGCCGCATTCGCCTCCTCCGCCACGCCGCTGCTCAATACAAACCCGCACCGGGCGCGTCTCTGTGCCGCCTCCCAATTTGTGGCGCTTCTCTCCGGACTCGCCGCCGCCAGCCCCCTTCTGTGCTCGATTGCTTTGTGAGTTTTAACGTCCACAGAGTTTCCGGGGGAGGGGGGGGGGCTCGCTCCCCCTACCCCTCGACAGTGGCGTGGCTTAAGGAGAATTGTCGCACCCCCCTTCTCCTCCTCCTCCTCTCCCCGTGCGGGTGAATGACGGCGGCGTGAGACGTGGGCCACCTTGCGCGCGGGATGGGGATCGGGGAAGAATGATGTGGGGGGGGGGGGGTGGGAGTCGTCTCTCGCGCGTCGGGTGGAGTACGGGGGGAGGGGCGGAGGAGAAGGGGTGGAATCCCCCCTCACCCCCCGAAAACCCGGACCTCGAGGGGGGGTGGGGGGGGGGGGGCTCTGGCGTGTGCGTGTGACCGTCACAGCGCGAGCTGCAACCAGGCGGCGGCGAGGGGGACGAGCAGCGCCAGCGGTGCGACGAGGCCCCGCGTGGCCGCGCTGCTGCCCTTGTCGCACAGCGCGTACATGTTCCCCTTGAACTTCAGCTTCCGCATGTCCTTCGCCAGCGACTTCCACGTGTCCGTGGCACCCTTCTGGCAGTCGGAAATGGCGGCCACTGAGCACGCCTGGAACTCCTCCCAGTGCCTGCGGCCGCGGGGGTGATGGGGGGGGGTGACACAGAGCGCGCGATGAGCGAGCGGCTCGGGCGTGCGTGTGGGTGCGTCAAGGCGGGGAGCGGTGGTGCAGCGGTTAGCGCGCTGCGCTACGAACCTGGCGACCCGGGTTCGATTCCCGCTCACGGCAGACACCAGTGATGATTATCTGAACCGGTTGTGGGCGCCCTCCCCTAGGTCGACTCAGCCTCAAATGACTATCTGGTGCGGTGCGTAAAACATCGCCACTAGGGAGACAAGGCGGCCGGGCGTGGTGCTGGCCACCCACCCCCCTCGTGTGCCTTGCCGACCTTCAGAGGTGCTCGCTAACAGCACTTGCCCCAACAGTCTGTTAAGGCTACACGGGGGATCTTTGTCTTGTGTGGCTTGTAAGATGTAATGTGTCCTCTGTAATTCTTTAATTGGTAAGAGCAGATTGCATCGCCAATATTAACTGGAAAATAAGCTGCTAATGAGACTTAAAACATAAACGATTATTCCTCAAGTTATGGCGAGCATTTTGTGAAGTGTACGCAAGATGCGCATCGATGTCGCATGCCCGCCCAAGGTGAAAACTAATCCGCACAACGCGAAGAAGACGACTCGAGATCTGTGAATCGAAACGCTGCCGTGTGAATTATCACAAGCTTCGTCTGTGTGCAGATTACTATGCCTTGATAATGTGTATGCATCATCTACCTTTGTATTTACGTACGTGTGTATACAATTATTTTAGCATGTATGTACATAAACGTACGTGTTAAAATACGTCTATGCGTATCAATTTACAAGACAATATGTATATATATGTGTGTGTGTGAAGTCTGTGTGCGTGTGTAAATTAAACTAATTTTGCTGGACCCCACAGCAATCCCACTGTGGGCTGAGCTCCTTCAACCGAGCAGCAGCGGCACGACGCGAATTGCGTCTCTGTCTGCTGAAGCCTTCTCAGCGTGGCGAGCAGCAGCATCGGCAGACCTTGACATTTGCATCGAGTTTCCTGAACCTCACCGCGGCTGCCATCGCGCGCTCCAAAAATAATCGAGTTATCCTAAATAATGTGACAGCGTGTTGGGGTGGGGAGGGGGGAGACATCGCATCCAGGTCATCGCCACTGAGAATCGCCGTCTCTTCTGTAGACGCCTTGGGGGCGATGATCGGTAGCCTCCACGTGAGATCTATTTTTATCATCATCATCATCACGGCCCACGCGCGGAGCGGTGATGAGTGAGCGCTCGGGCCCATCCACTTCCGCAACCCTTGGCGACACGGCCCAACACAGAGCCGCACATGGCCGTGGCGATTCCACGACGTGCGGCCCCGCGTCCAAACGGAGGAGCCCCGCCGGCTGTGGCTGCCCCCCCCCCCCCCCCCGAGACAAGCGGCCGTGAGCGCGTTTATTCCTGATTAACGATGTGGTACCCCCCCCCCCCCACAACTCCAACCCCGTGACACCCCCCCCCCCCCAACTCACCCAACCCCGCGACCCCCCGGGGAGCGCTTAACGGGATACGGGGTCCTGGACCTCGACTCCAATCGCGGCGCGCGAGGCGAGAGCTCAGCCGCTCCGCCGCCTGTACGACCATCATCCAGGCACCCCCCCCCCCGCTACGCGCGGCCTTCTTCAGCCCCTCGCCGCTCGTCTCTAAGATCCCTCCCCGCAGCTTCGCCGCTCTCATTCCTCAGCTCCCCGTGCCGTTCCCCTCGTTCCGTTTTTTTACCGATTAGAGCCGCGCGCCTCCATTATTATAGCGGCTGTTAAATATTGTATTGTAATTGCTGTTATATGGTTGTTATTACTACGACGCTCTGACTGGAGCATACACACGTGCCTTTTTATTATAGTTGTTCACGTTGTATTTTAAATGTATTAATGAGCGATATTAATAGCTGCTGTCTATTACGCAATGAATGGGTAAAATTACGCGCAGGCCTGAGATTCATTCATTAATTAGACCTGAATCCCAGGGTTGTTGATTAAAAGAGAATGAATTTCGCGCGTGTGTGTACATACATATATACACGTGTGTGTGTGTGCGTGTAGCCGTGTGTGTACATACATACATACACGTGTGTGTGTGTGTACATACATATATACACGTGTGTGTGTACATACATATATACACGTGTGTGTGTGCGTGTAGCCGTGTGTGTACATACATATATACACGTGTGTGTGTACATACATATTTACACGTGTGTGTGTGCGTGTACCCGCGTGTGTATATATACACGTGTGTGTGTGTGCGTATACCCGTGTGTGTACACACATATATACACGTGTGTGTGTACGTGTACCCGTGTGTGTATATAATACACGTGTGTGTGCGTGTACCCGTGTGTGTATACATACACGTGTGTGTGTCCGTGTGTGTGTGCGTGTACCCGTGTGTGTATACATACACGTGTGTGTGTATATATGTGTCGTGGGGAGCAGTACTACACTACCGGTTAGCGCGCTGCGCTACGAACCTGGCGACCCGAGTTCGATTCCCGCTCACGGCCAAAATCAGTGACGATTATCTGAACCGGTCCTGGGCGTTCCCTAGGTCGACTCAGACTCAAATGGTTCGATGTGTAGTAAAGATCACCACTGGGGAGACAAAGGCGGCAGGGCTTGGTGCTGGCCATCCACACCCTCGTGTGCCGTTCTGACCTTTATAGGTGCTCGCCAACAGTACTTGCCCCAACCGTCTGTTACAGGCTATACGGGGGATCTTTGTCTTTGTATATATGTCTACACATATGCACCCGTGTGTGTGCCTCTGTGCATGTGTCGTTGCGTATATGCGCATGGACGTGGGGGACGGTAGCGTGGCGGCACTGCGCCACGATCCTGCCGCCTACAGCCAACACCAGTGACGATTATCTGAACCAGTCCTGGGTCTCCACTAGGTCGACTCAGCCTCAAACGAGTATCTGGCCCGGCGTGTAAAAACATCGCACTGGGGAGACAAAGGCGGTCGGGCGTGGTGCTGGCCACCCACCCGCCCCCCTCGTGTGCCACAATGCCGCCCTCCGTAGGTGTTCACTAACAGCACTTGTCCCCACCGCTCACCAAGGTTATATTCTGTCTCTGTGTGTGGGCGCAAGGAACTCGCAAGCAGCACCTTGCGATGGCGACACGGGGGGGGGGGGGTGCTCGTCTTTGTGCGGGCATGTTGCTGCGTCAGTGAGTGCGGCGAGTGCGAGGATACTCTTCATATTATTATTATTATACACGGGGCCTGCATACAACAGCAGCAGCTCCACGGCATTGTATATCCCGGGACGCGTGGGTGGGGAGTGATGGGGGGTGCGGAGGGGAGCGGGAACCCCCCTATTGGGGGATCCGCCGAGGAGACCCCCCCACCGCCCACGCGCTCACGGACCCGGCACGAGGCGATTGCATCGAGACACAGAAAGATAAACAAGTAGCGAACATTTTCAGCAAAGGAAGACTAAGATATAGACATACAGGTACTTATTAAACATAAATACGCAAACACTTGTCAAAATAGAACGATACAAGATACAACCAGATATATATAGAGACGTATAAATAGCCCGCCTACTGACAATTCGACGAATACATCATAAACATACGAACGAACATACACACACGTAGCTCTACGGTATGTACTCATCATAGACAACGGAGTAAAACGAAGCCGAATAAACATGGAAACAAATCGGTGAGTTGGCCACTCGATAGACAACGAGTCGAGAGACGGGGCCGGTGGAGCAGCGGACGGCCTAGTCCGCTGTGGAGCGCGAACGAGGCCGTGTGGACGAGGAGGAGACCATCGCTCCGACAGTCCGCGGGCGTCGCAGTCACGGCGAGTCCACGGACCCCAACGAACGCCGCAGGCCGCGAGCCGCGCAACCGCCGCACTGAGACCGCGACCCGAGCGCCCCCGTGTCAGATGCGGCGCTCACAAACGGCCTCGAGACGATCCCCATAGGATCTCCTCCCCCCCCCCAATTTGTGACAATCGAATCGCAAACATCGATTTAATAATCGATTTTATCGAACACCGTTTGGCGAGAGCTTGCGTCTCCCGTGGGACTGCCGTGCACAACTCATTTTGCGTTTCGTTAAAAGTAGGAATAGAAAATAATCGGGACACCGAACGCGCGCCGATGTTCGATGCGCGCGTCTCGCCGAGTCGACGACTCTCTGTCCGGGCCGCGTGTCACGCGCCGCGCGCGACTCGCGGCCTCGTGCTGTCGCCCTGGGCGAGCGCGCTCGGCGCGGAGACCCCCCCCCCCCCGGCTTCACGCTGACTCCACCACCTACGGGGTTCTGCTGCTGGTGCTGCTGGCGCTTACTGGTGCTGCTGATGCTGCTGCTGCTGGCGCTTACTGGTGCTGCTGATGCAACTGGTGCTGCTGGCGCTTACTGGTGCTGCTGATGCTGCTGATGCAACTAGTGCTGCTGATGCTGCTGATGCAACTGGTGCTGCTGATGCCACTGCTGGTGCTGCTGATGCAACTGGTGCTGCTGATGGAACTGGAGCTGCTGATGCTACTGGTGCTGCTGATGCTACTGCTGGTGCTGCTGATGCAACTGGTGCTGCTGATGCTGCTGATGCTACTGGTGCTGCTGATGCTGCTGATGCTACTGCTGGTGCTGCTGATGCAACTGGTGCTGCTGATGCTACTGGTGCTGCTGATGCTACTGCTGGTGCTGCTGATGCAACTGGTGCTGCTGATGCAACTGGTGCTGCTGATGCTGCTGATGCTACTGGTGCTGCTGATGCTGCTGATGCTACTGCTGGTGCTGCTGATGCAACTGGTGCTGCTGATGCTACTGGTGCTGCTGATGCTACTGCTGGTGCGGCTGATGCAACTGGTGCTGCTGATGCAACTGGTGCTGCTGATGCTGCTGCTGATGCTACTGGTGCTTGCGGGTGCTGCTGCTGATCCTGCACGCGCCTCACCGCACCAGCGTCCTCACAGCAACGGGGAGCAGCGGCTGCATAATTCATCGTAATTTATTCCTCGGATACCCGCATGCATTATTTATAGGCAGCACCCGACTGCGGTATAATTTTTTTTATTATATAAAAATGCGTTTTGTCCTTAAATACGAGCGCGATACAGCGAATTAAATGACAAATTCATTGCCGGTCTGAATCTGCGCCGCTGAAGCGCGGGGTCGCGGCGATTTTGTCGCGACCCTCGCCGCGTTGCAACGCTCCACGGCGACTCCCCGTCGCAGCGCAGAGGGACTGAGCGTGGAGCCGGATTCAGGAGCCGGATTCAGGAGCCGGATTCAGGAGGGCACGCGGAGCTGAGCCGTGCGCAGATACCCAGGTCAGTGCGCGGGATCCAAAGCCAATGAGAGAGTCCCCGAACGCGTGCGGAGCGACTGGGTGACTGAGACCCACGTGGGTAGGGAGACCCAGACCCGCGTACGGGGACTCTGGTCCCAGCATCACGGCTCCGGCCCCGATCCCTCTTCGGCTATGCGAGGAAGAAGAAGAAGGCAAAGAAAGGGAGACGCGAAGACAACATGGCCGGTAGAAAACATCGCTGCGTCTCGGTGCGTCTCTGCGTTGGTGGGGCCAGCGAGCCCATGCCCATGTGGGGAGCGATGCCGCACTGCGCTACGAACCCGTCGACCCGAGTTCGATTCCCGCTCACGACCAACGCGTTTATCTGGAACAGTCCTGGGCCTCACCTACGTCGACTCAGCCTCAAACGAGCACCCGGTGCGGTGTGTGTACACATCGTCACGAGGGAGACAAAGGCGGCCGGGTGTGGTACTGGCTACCCACTCCCTCGTATTCCGTGCCGGCCTGTATAAGTACTCACTAACAGTAATGTGCGTGCCGTGCCGGCCTGCATAGGTTCTGCTCGCTAAGAGCACTACTCCCCCCACGTGTGATCTCGGCCGTCGGGTGCCGGGGCGGTGTGGGGTGCCCGTGCCGGGCGCGCGCCCCCTACTTGCAGAGCGTGGTGACCGCGTGGCTCTCGTCCATGTCGGGCCGCACGCGGTTCAGGTGGTCTCCCAGGCGGTGCAGGCAGCCCGAGAGGCCCGCGTAGAAGGCGTCGCAGCGGCCCGGCGCGGCCGCCTCGATCACCTCGTTCCCCCGGTCCTGGCACAGCGCTGGCGAGGTGAGGTGAGCGGGGTGGGGGGAGGGGAAGAGATCAGACAAAACGAAGCCACCCCTCCTCTTCCATCCCCCCGGGGGGGTTGTACGAGGGGGTCTTCCCCCGGGTCGGTCAGGGTCGCGTCTGTATTGAAGCGGCCGTGGTGGTGGGGAGAGAGCGTGGGAGAGAGTGTGGAGAGGCGACATCTCTTTCTCTCTCTCCATTTATCTCTCAGTGGCGCTCTCTCCATCTCTCTCCGCCGACGCGGACAGCCCAAGATGGCGTGACAGATGTAGGAGCGCAGTGGATTAATGCTGCGCGCGGTTTATGTTGTTCGAGGCACTAATGTTGAAACCACGGGCACGGAGCCAAAAACACCCCCCCCCCCACACAGACACTTGTACACGTGGCGCCAGCTGTCGCGGTGTACGCGCGAGTCGCGAGTCGCCAGCAGCAGCAGCAGCACAAAGAGGAGCCGTGGAGCGGTCCTGCGGTGCAGCAGGCGCGCGCCCGTCGTGCACACTCACGCGCACGTAGACAAAGAACCCCCGTATAGCCTTGAGAGAATGTTGGGGCAAGTGCTGTTGGCGAGCACCTATGAAGGCCGGCACGAGGGGGGCGGGTGGCCAACACCACGCCCGGTCGCCTTTGTCTCCCCAGTGGCGATGTTTTACACATCGCACCAGGTACTCATTTGAGGCTGAGTCGACCCTAGGGGAGGCCCAGGACCGGTTCAGATAAACTGTCACCGACGTTGACCGTGAGCGGGAATCGAACTCGTTTCGTCGGGTTCGTAGCGTAGCGCTAACCGCTACAGTACCGCTCCCCCCCCTCACACACACTCACACACTCACACACCCTCACACACACTCACACACCCTCACACACACTCACACACGCGTCGTCAAGTGCACGACACGCGCATCAATACGAACCAACACCTCCACGCACTAAAATTCACACGCGCGTTTACAAGCACAAATGTACAATGTACACGCGCGCCAGGTTACATGCCCCCACGTGTCACACACACGCACGCAAACGCGAACACACACACGCACGTGTCACATACACATACACGCACACACACGCACGTGTCACATACACGCACACACACGCACGTGTCACATACACGCACACACACGCACGTGTCACATACACGCACACACACGCACATGTACACCCACTCCCACAGTCACATTTACACGCACCCTGAATAATGCACTGACATATGTACGCAGTCACATAGACAAAGCTCCCACGTGTAGCCTTTAACGGCCTGTTGGGGCAAGGGCTATTAGCGAGCACCTGTGAAGGCCGGAACGGCACACGAGGGGGTGGGTGTCCTACACCATTTCCCGGCCGCCTTTGTCTCGCCGGTGCTGATGTTTTACACACCACATAAGGTGCTCTGTTTGAGGCTGAATCGACTTTAGGGGCGGCCCAGAAACGGTTGAAATGATCCCCCCTTGTTATTTGGTCGTGAGCGGAAATCGAACTCGGGTGGCCGGGTTCGGAGCACGGCGCAATAGCCTCAGCGCGCAGCCACGTACACTCACTCGCTCACCCACTCATTCACTCACTCGCTCACCCACTCATTCACTCACTCCCTCACCCACTAATTCACTCACTCGCTCACTCACTCACTCGCTCACCCACTCATTCACTCACTCGCTCACCCACTCATTCACTCACTCCCTCACCCACTAATTCACTCACTCGCTCACTCACTCACTCGCTCACCCACTCATTCACTCACTCGCTCACCCACTCACTCACTCGCTCACTCACTCACCCACCCCAGTGCACGCGAGGCGCCATCCCTGTCGTCTCCTCGCCCATCGTTCCGGGGAGGTGGGGGGGGAAGCGGGGACCCCCGGGACAGACCCCTCTCTTCCCTGCCTTGGATTCATTGCACATCGGGTGTTGCGAGTACAGTACCGTACGCGGTTGTGCGTGCATGCTCCTCTATGTGTGTGTGTGTTTGTGTGTCTGTGTGTGTGCATGTGTGTGTGTTTGTCTGTGTTTGTGTGTGTGTTTGTATGTTTGTGCGTGTGTATGTGTGTTTGTGTGGGTGTATGTGTTTGTTTGTGTGTGTATGTGTGTTTGTCTGTGTGTATGTGTTTGTGTGTGTGTAGAGTGTGGAGCGGTGGTGTAGTGGTTAGCGCACTGCACTATGAATCTGGCCACCCGGGTTCAATTCCCGTTCACGGCTAACGCCAGTGACGATTAATTATTTGGACCGATCATGTGCCTCCTCCTCTAGGTCGACTCAGCCTCAAATGAGTACGTGGCGCGATCGCCACGAGGGGGACGAAGGCGGCCTCGTCGCGTGCCGCGCCGGCCTTCACAGGTGCTCGCTAACAGCACTTGCCTCAACAGTCTGTCAAGGTTATACGGGGGATCTTTGTCTTCGTATGGGGAGCGGTAGTGGAGTGGTTGCGCACTGCGTTACTAACCCGGGGTCACCGAATTCGATTCCTGTTCATGATCTAATAACTGGAGATTATCTGTATATATATGTATATAATATCAGTTTGTATGTCTTTGTATGTGCGTGCGTATGAGTGCGTATCTGTGTATACATACACACACGTCGTGTGTATGCTTCTGTGTATGCGTGTGCATGTAGAGTGCATTTGTGTGTATTCGTGTGTGTGGCTGTTTATGCTTGCCAGGTTTCATAGACGCTCGCTAACAACATTTCTGTTTAGGTTATACGGGGGATCTTTGTATTTGCGTGTGTATATATATATTTACGTGCGCAGATATTGTATGTGTGCGTAGCAGCTTATGTAGTAGTTGTGTCTACGACGTTGACGTTCTCTCCTGCTTTACCAAATAGCCGCATTCAACGTCGAGCTCCCTGTCATCGCCATTTCAATCCGACACTTCCATTTTTTTTCTTGAACAAAAAAATATTTAGAATGAATAACCGCACCGAGATGATCCAACGAGGAAGGGAGAGAGACACAGGGAGAGAGACAGAGAGAGAGACAGAAATAGATACAGTGAGACAAAGAGAGAGAGAGACAGACCGAGAGAGACCCGAGCAGCGCATCATCAGCGCCGGCCCGCAGCGTGGACCGTGCCCCTCCATTCAATATTCTCCCGGACAGTCGCTCACGAGCTAATTGATGATGCAGCGTATTTGTTCACTTCACCTGAGATGAATAAATACTCTCTCGGTCTTTACACCCCCCCCCTTCCTCCTCTCGCATCCCCTCCCTCCCCACGCCGTGTATTAACCTCCTGTAATGGACCTGCGCGTGTGAACTTTCAAAATACTGTACGCGACCTCGACGTCCGGACGCGTTTGAGAGGAGCGCCAGGGGTCGCGACCTCCTCTGCTGCCACCGCCTCGACACGAAGATCAGCGCGACCCCCAGACGCGACCTGACCCCCTCCCCTTCCACCCCGCCTCCCCGCGCGTGCCTGCGGAGCCGCGTGCGATTCTCGTGGGGGGGGGGGGGGGGTCGCTACGAGACGGAGGCTCGAGCGAGGAGCGAAAGAAAGAGCCGGGAGACGGCGGGCGGCGAACGGCGACTCGGCGACCCTGGCAGAAGACCGCGGCGAAAGCGGATTTACACGGAGAAGGCGCGTGTACCCCCCCCCCCCGTGTCTCCCGTGTCTCGTGTCTCCCGTGTCTCGTGTCTCCCGTGTCTCGTGTCTCCCGTGTCTCGCGTCTCCCGTGTCTCGTGTCCCGTCCCCTCGTCTCCCGTGTCTCCCGTGTCTCGTGTCCCGTCCCCTCGTCTCCCGTGTCTCGTGTCCCGTCCCCTCGTCTCCCGCGTCTCCCGTGTCTCGTGTCCCGTCCCCTCGTCTCCCGTGTCTCGTGTCCCGTCCCCTCGTCTCCCGTGTCTCGTGTCCCGTCCCGGGATTTCCCGTGTCTCGTGTCCCGTCCCCTCGTCTCCCGTGTCTCGTGTCCCGTCCCCTCGTCTCCCGTGTCTCCCGTGTCTCGTGTCCCGTCCCGGGATTTCCCGTGTCTCGTGTCCCGTCCCCTCGTCTCCCGTGTCTCGTGTCCCGTCCCCTCGTCTCCCGTGTCTCCCGTTTCTCGTGTCCCGTCCCCTCGTCTCCCGTGTCCCGTCCCCCCGTCCCCTCGTCTGCCGTGTCTCCGTTATCTCCGAGTCAAAGAGGCCGCGCGTGCGTCGCCGGCCGCATCGCGCGACTTCAGGATGAACGTGACACGGGGCGAATGAATCCGCCATCGATGAATATATCACAACACCGTGCCAGTGTGAGGAGGCACCGGTCCACGATAGCCAGGATCGAATGACGACGATCAAATAGTGCGTCATCGTGAAGATAACATGGCACCACGCGAAGAGAATTAATTTAAAGCGACATCGCTGATGGAATTACATAACATCGAGATTTAAACAATAATAATAATTCCACTACGAAGAAATACTGTAAGAGGTAAAGATAAATAATATAACCGGGAATTTAAACGTCGTAAGTGTAAACGCGAAACGGCTCCCTGGATGAGGGACGCGGCCGAGTCGTCGCGGCCCACGGCGCGCTCCGTGCGCTCCGCACGCCACGCGGCGACGGCTCCGTTGACGATCGCGACGCGCCGGAGTTCCGCTTTCGTTGAAACGGAGCGCGGCAGCGACTCGGCCTCGAGTGGGGACTCGGCCTAGAGCGATCCCTGGCGCTCACGCGCGCGCCGATTGACCCCCCCCCCCCTGGATGATGCATCTCGCAACGTCCGCGATTCATCGATTCGCCATTCGTTATTCCTATAGAAAAAAACACCCGGCGGACAAGGAGACGGTAGCTACTGCTGCTCTGCTGCTGTAAATGATCGCCGAACGCAGCCGCTGCAGCTGCCCAACGCGAACCGGCGCTTTCCGTGTCCGAGTTCGCTGCCCGAGCCACGGCGTGTGGGTGTCACCACCGCGCTCTCGCGAGCAGTTCACGCGATCGGGGCAGGCTCCCCGCGTATGTTCTTTCGTGAATAGCGGCGGCGGCAGCAGCAGCAGCGGTAATAATCACGATCACAACAATAACAGTAGTAGTAGTAAATATGCTGACCGCGGGGGAGGCGCACGCGTGACGCAAGGAGCTGTGCTCTTCCAGGGTCGCAGGGCGCTCGTCTCATGAATAAAAGACGGCGCAAGGAAGCGACTTCAATCAGCCGAGCCGATCGCGCTGCGCCTCGGCTCCGCGCGCAGCTGGGATGAGAGGCGCGCGGCACCGGAGCGGCTCAGGCACTGACACCGACGAGGCGCGAGGCGCTTCACCCCACACGGACTTGTTGAATGGACGCCCAACGGCGGCGAGCCCGCGTCTCACGCTGTCGCTCGCTCGCTCTCTCTCGCTCTCGCGTTCCACTCTCGCTCGCTCTCTCTCGTTCCATTCTCCGCGCCGGCAACCGCGGCAGCGACACTCACCGAAACGGAATGCGAGCGCTAGGAGGAAAGAGGCCGAGCGCAGGGCGGTGCAAGCCATCGTCCTTGAGCTACCTGCATGGGCCCGGGCACGGCGAGAGTCTCGCGCGGAAAAAAAAACAAATCGGGGGCGGGAAGAGGTTGTGGTGGTGGTAGTGGTGGTGGTGGGGAGCGCGCAGGGACACGCGGACCCGGCGCGGGGAGAGCGCCTGGACAAGCGACGGCCCTCGTTCCTCTCTGCGCCTCGGTCGCCACTCGTTCGCAGTGGCGGTGGTGGCCCGAGCGAGCCGCGGCCCCGGTGCTGAAGGCGCTCGCGTCCGCGCGGGATTTGGACTCCCTCCTCGCCTCCCTCCTCGCCTCCCCTCCCTCCCTCCCTCCCCCTTGCGCGCGGCGCGTGCGCGGCCGGGCCCCCGTCTCCGTGCACGAGGCGCGTGCGCGCGCGCGTTAAGAATCCGCGTTGTGACGCCGCCGCGTGGGCGCGCGGGTCTCGGGTGCGCACGCGATGATTCCCCCCCCCGCCTCCTCCCCCGCCTCAAATCCAACCCCCGCTTGCGCGCGTGCTCGTGTCCTCGCGCCCCGTGTGCGCGTGCACGAGGAGGCGCGTGCCCGCTGACGTCAGGCGGAGTATGGCGCCTTTAGCGCCTTCATCTTCGCCCCTCCCCCCGAATGAAGTCGTTAATCCACGAGCGGTGATTCCACTCGGGCGATGAAGACCAAATAACGTTCCTTGATTCTCATCACGACGGCCCGCGCCTGCACGTGCCGATGATGCGCGCGAGAGGGATAGATTGGCTAAGAGAGGGGGGGGGGGGTTGGAGGCGTTTTAACAGCGAGACCCCAAATGTTGGTTTTGTTCTGAAGCCAACTATTCAGGGGGCAACAACAACGCGCAGTCGAACTCCTCCATTGCGGCGTGAGGGTGACGACGCTGCAGGCGAGCACACTTTGCCGTGGGTGTGTGCCATTTTATTCCTCTGCGCCTGACGACGCGAGCGTTAGGACTCGTTGCGCGTTTAAGCAGCGGAGCCCGAGTCTCGGGGACTCCGTCCCATGCTGCCCCGCGCCGCGTTCGCAGCGCGGCGCGGGGCAGCTTTGGGGGAGGGCGGGGGGCGAAGCTCCACAAGGGCAGCACGGGATCAGGGGACGGGAGTTGATCCTGAACAGGTGGCGGATGAATCATCCGAGCGCTTGCCTGCTCGTGTGTATGACGCGCACGCGACGTGTGTAGGTGTGTGTGTGTTATATATATATGTGTGTGTGGGGGGGGGCGGCAGTGCAGCGGTTAGCGCGCTTGCGATACGAACACGTACGCTCCGAGTTCGATTCCCGCTTCGGGCTCGCATCAGTGACGATCATCTTAACAAGTCCTGGGCCTCCACTAGGTCGACTTAATCTCAAATGAGTACCTGGTGCAGTGTGTAGTAAACATCGCCAATTGGAGACAAAGGCGGCCGGGCGTGGTTCTGGCAACCCACCCCCTCGTGTGCCGGTATCGGCCTTCATCGGTGATACTCGCTAACAGCACTTGCCCCAAAAGCCTGTTAAAGGCTACACGGGGCTTCTTTGCATTTATGTATACAGTGTGTACGTATATAATGTGCATTGCGAACAATGAGTGCAGCTCGCAACGCGAGCAGCTCGGCTCGGATCTAGACCCGGAACGGTTACGTAAGAGGCGCGGCTTAATGAACGCTTCGCGCGGTACGCATCAAATATTAAACGGGAAGCTCTCTCTCTCTCGCTCACTCTCTCTCGCTCACTCTCGCGCTCACTCTCTCTCTGCTCTCCATCTCCTCCTGCACTGCCGCACGCACATCGCGAGCACATCGCGAGCACGAAGAAGAATGACCCCTTCCCCGAGCTCGCGCCCGGCTCCGACGGGCCCCTGGGCTCAAGTCGGTGGCGACCGCTGAGGAGCCAGTCGATCTCCCAGCGTGGCAGGCTGCTCCCGGACACTGACGTGCACGTGTTCGCTCTCTCTCTCGCTCTCTCTCTCTCTCGCTCGCTCTCTCGCTCGCTCGCTCGCTCGCTCGCTCTCTCTCTCTGTGCGGACCGGCTTTGTTTCAATCTCTGCGTTCCGTGATCAATGCGCCGGACCGAGCGGCGCGACCCCGGGTCCTGCGAACTGCGATCGGAATTTCATTTCCCCACCCCCCCTCCCCCTCCTCCTCCTCTCTCAAACGCATATTTCCCTGGCGAATCATTCAACAAACAAAAACATACATAATAATGAAATACGCCAACAAAACACGTCCGCATGGGTTTATATATATATATATCTATATTTATTAAAAAAAATTGCTCGCCCTTATAGCTCCGTGCGCTTTATTCGTTTACATGTCAGAAGCACGCGCGGTATCGATCGCTGCGCAATTAAGTGGCCGGTGGAATGCTGTGATGTTGGGGCGAGAGAGGGCTGCTGCTCCCGCCTATTGAGGCCGTTCGGCTCTGCGCTTCTAAAGATCTCATATCCAGCCCCCGCTAATGGACACTTGCATTTATTTATATATTTTCTTCCAAGGAGTGAGGTGGACGCGAGGTCGCGCGCGAGGGATGAGTGGTGTAGGGGTAGGGGGGGGGGGTGCGGCGGGGGGGGGGGGGCGAGCAGGCTCATTGTTAATTAATTAATTAATGGCGCGAGGAGCGCTCCGCGGGAGCGGCCGCTGAACGCGCGCAGTGTCTGGGCGCTCTCCGCTGCGTGCCGGGAGGCTGTCGGCGGTCTGTCGAGACGCTGCCGTGACCGGTTAAACAACCATCCTGGGCTCCAGCGGCCGACCCCCCCCCAACTCCCTCTACGAGTCCGCACGATGAGGCGCGCGCGGCTATTATTAACGTCGCGCAGATTCCCCGCAACGTACGTGTGTGCTGTACAGTGCCGCAGCTCAAACGTACAGCCCACTGCAATGCCACAGATCGCAGCTGCAATCACTGCAATGCCACAGATCACAGCTGCAATCACTGCAATGCCACAGATCACAGCTGCAATCACTGCAATGCCACAGATCACAGCTGCAATCACTGCAATGCCACAGATCGCAGCTGCAATCACTGCAATGCCACAGATCGCAGCTGCAATCACTGCAATGCCACAGATCGCAGCTGCAATCACTGCAATGCCACAGATCACAGCTGCAATCACTGCAATGCCACAGATCACAGCTGCAATCACTGCAATGCCACAGATCCAGCTGCAATCACTGCAATGCCACAGATCACAGCTGCAATCACTGCAATGCCACAGATCGCAGCTGCAATCACTGCAATGCCACAGATCACAGCTGCAATCACTGCAATGCCACAGATTCAGCAGCTGCAATCACTGCAATGCCACAGATCCAGCTGCAATCACTGCAATGCCAAGATCACAGCTGCAATCACTGCAATGCCACAGATCACAGCTGCAATCACTTGAATGCCACAGATCGCAGCTGCAATCACTGCAATGCCACAGATCACAGCTGTAATCAACTGCAATGCCACAGATCACAGTCTGCAATCACTGCAATGCCACAGATCACAGCTGCAATCACTGCAATGCCACAGATCACAGCTGCAATCACTGCAATGCCACAGATCGCAGCTGCAATCACTGCAATGCCCAGATCACAGCTGCAATCACGCAATGCCACAGATCACAGCTGCAATCACTGCAATGCCACAGATCACAGCTGCAATCACTGCAATGCCACAGATCACAGCTGCAATCACTGCAATGCCACAGATCGCAGCTGCAATCACTGCATGCCACAGATCCAGCTGCAATCACTGCAATGCCACAGATCACAGCTGAATCACTGCAACTGCCACAGATCGACAGCTGCACTCACTGCAATGCCACAGATCACAGCTGCAATCCACTGGCAATGCCACAGATCACAGCTGCAATCACTGCAATGCCACAGATCCAGCTGCAATCACTGCAATGCCACAGATCGCAGCGCAATCACTGCAATGCCACAATCACTGCAATGCCACAGATCACAGCTGCAATCACTGCAATGCCACAGATCGCAGCTGCAATCACTGCAATGCCACAGATCACAGCTGCAATCACTGCAATGCCACAGATCACAGCTGCAATCACTGCAATGCCACAGATCACAGCTGCAATCACTGCAATGCCACAGATCACAGCTGCAATCACTGCAATGCCACAGATCGCAGCTGCAATCACTGCAATGCCACAGATCACAGCTGCAATCACTGCAATGCCACAGATCACAGCTGCAATCACTGCAATGCCACAGATCGCCAGCTGCAATCACTGCAATGCCACAGATCACAGCTGCAATCACTGCAATGCCACAGATCACAGCTGCAATCACTGCAATGCCACAGATCACAGCTGCAATCACTGCAATGCCACAGATCGCAGCTGCAATCACTGCAATGCCACAAATCACAGCTGCAATCACTGCAATGCCACAGATCGCAGCTGCAATCACTGCAATGCCACAGATCGCAGCTGCAATCACTGCAATGACACAGATCACAGCTGCAATCACTGCAATGCCACAGATCACAGCTGCAATCACTGCAATGACACAGATCGCAGCTGCAATCACTGCAATGACACAGATCGCAGCTGCAATCACTGCAATGCCACAGATCACAGCTGCAATCACTGCAATGCCACAGATCGCAGCTGCAATCACTGCAATGCCACAGATCACAGCTGCAATCACTGCAATGCCACAGATCACAGCTGCAA